TTGCAGCCAGCACTGGCAGAAGGGTGACTGCAGCCGAGGAGGAGGAGGAGGAGGAGGAAGAAGAGGCAGAGGAGTTGGAGGAGGACACCGAAGAGGATGAAGTTCAGGTGATTGAAATGAAGAAGGAGAACGGCGAGGCGTCCTGCCTAAAGCAGCCGGGCAGCGGCAAGGAGGCGTCTCCCCCACCCAGCCCCGACTGCAACGCCCAAGCGGAGAAACCAGGGGAGCAGTCCAGCCTGGGGAAAAAAAATGACATCTCCAGACACAGCTACTCCAGATACAACACAATCTCCTACCGGAGGATCAGAAAAGGAAACACCAAACAACGAATCGATGAGTTTGAATCCATGATGCACTTATAGACTGAGGTGGAGAATTGCTTAACGAGACGAGCGTTCACTCTGGTTTTTGTTTTTCTTTTTGTCTCCCCCAAGACGTGTCTCTTCACGCAACGTGAGGTCACTGCTATTTTCCCTTTTGTATATGATTTCATAATACACTGTGAAAATTTAACATCCTCACTTTGACAGCGGGCAGGGGCATCCATAGCGCAGGAAAATAAATAATCAGTTTGCTAAATATAATACCATTTGATTTAAAGTTTATCCTCTTATTTTCTATCCAACTTTTGTAACCATATTCAAACAATAGGATGTCTTCAACTGGCCGGGGCTTCTCGAGCTGCTGGCGTGCACGTGATCCGTGCCATCAGCCGTGCCGGTAATGAGTTGGCAGCGCGGCAGCCCAGTAACAGTGGCCAGGGCAGCGTGAATAATAAAAGAGACGACTGTTTGCAACCACAGCGCTCTGTTTTGCTGTCCATCCGTGCTGGGGTCTCACGGCGCACCGACAGCCACTCCTGCTAGCGACCGTCCGTTTCCACCTCGTGCCAGTGGGATGGAGGGGCACCTGATTCACGGGTAGGTGCAGATGTGCAGGAATTAAAGCAGGTGAGAAGGTATCAAGGCCCCCGTTGCCCCACTGCCACCCCTAACACTGCATGTGGGTAGCTGGGCTCCTTATGCAGCACCGCAGTCAGCTCCAGACAGGATTGGTATGGTCTGCTGGCCCCGGTGCCAGCACGGGTGTCTTTACGCGTGATGTTGCCCACGTGCCACAGTCTGCACCGCGGGCACCGCTGGGCTCACGCAGCACTGCCCTCCAGACCATCTGCTCTGGCTGGGGGTGTGAAACCATGGCTGCAGCTAGTCCCAGCTGACCCCCGTGCCCCGGGGGGCCGGCCACAGTGACCAGCCCCACCGGCCCGGGGCAGCGGTGCCCTGGGAGGCGGCTGGTCCCCATCAGCACAACCGCACTCTGAGCCAGCCCAGAGAGCAGCAGCTCACACGCTGCACATGCCGCAGGGCATGTGCCGGCTCCTGTGTCAGCATTCACCTGGTAAAACCGGCCACTGCCAGAAACCTTATTTTCCAAATACCACCAGACTGGACTCTCTTACATGTCTTCTCAATTTTCACGCTAAGTTTAGATGCAAAGTTTAAAGATTTTTGTTTTTTGGCAAAGCCAGGCAAGTTTTATGCATAATTTGGTTTTGTGTCACCTGAACATGACCTTTCTCCACTTTTAAAAACCTTTGTGAAACTATAGTATTGTTGACGCAGTTTTTCTAAACTATTTTACTGGCAGATTTGTCTTGAGCTGGGCCTGAGCTTTGCAAACGCCATCCCAGAAAGCAGCTGGGAGAGCTGAGAGCAGCTGGCAAAGGCAGAGGAGGTGAGAACGAAGTCAGACTCCGACTTCAGCCGCAGTGCCCTCCTCCTTCAGCCATCCGCGCTGTTCTGAGGACCAGTTTTGCATCTCCAGCAGCACGCAGTATCGGTTTGACTCTTCTTGTCCTGCATAAAGGCAATTATTTATCGGCGGCGTGACGCTGATAAGCAGCGATTCTGCATTGTGCCCAGCAGACACAGCCCCATTGTGCCATTCAGCCTTGTTTATTCGCACTTTGGGCTGCCTAAGTTCAGAGGTTCGCTTGTGCGAACTTATACTGTGGGTTTGTTTGTCTGCTGGCAGCT